TCCTCAGGGCCTTTTGCCTCCGTGGCCAAGGACTCTGAGCCTGGGCTTTGTGTCTGCTCACCACCGGCCACAAGAGATCGAAGGACTTTCACCTCTTCATTCAACTCGTCATATCCTTGGTAGTGAGTGAAGCTACTGACATGTTTGCCTGATTCTCACTGCCACATGATTTGGCAGGGCCGAGAATCGAGGCCGCATGGCTGTCAAAAGCCGGTTGAGAAAGTCGTACTTCCTCTGTTTGTCTTCGTATTGCTCTTGCAGACTGGCCAATTCCTGCCGCAGCCTGACAACCTCTTCTTCATTGGCCTCAGATTGTGTGACAAGGAAACAAACCACGAGCATTGAACTTGAAAGGTTTCATATTTGCAGCTTTGCTTCCGATTCCGACTTGCCCCTGCAAGAAGGGTCAGCAGTCTGAGACTGTGAATCCTGCGGGGCAAGGAAGTCAATCCCCCGATGCACTGTTACAACACATCACCCCCGATGTGCTGCTAGAGCTCATCACCCCTGATGCGCTGTTACAGCGCATCACCCCCAATAACTCAGCCCAAGCCAAGCCTCAGCCAAGCCCCAGCCACCCCCCCAGAACACAAGCCCGGCCAGCCCCAGCCAACCCCCCCCCCCCCCCAGCCCCACCCAGCCAGCACCAACCAGACCTCCAACACCAGGAGTGATGCGCTGTAACAGCGCATCACCCCTGATGCGCTGTTACAGCGCATCACCCGCGATGCGCTGTACAGCGCATCACCCCACTAACTCAGCCCCAGCCCAGCCCCAGCCAAGCCCCAACCAGGCCCCACCCCCCCAGGACCAGGAGTGATGCGCTGTAACAGCGCATCACCCGCGATGCGCTGTTACAGCGCATCACCCGCGATGCGCTGTTACAGCGCATCACCCCACTAACTCAGCCTAACCGAAGGCCCCAGCCAAGCCCCAGCCAGCCCCAGCCAAGCCCCAACCAGGCCCCACCACCCCCACCATCCCCAGCACAACCACCCTCAGCACCAGGAGTGATGCGCTGTTACAGCGCATCACCCGCGATGCGCTGTTACAGCGCATCACCCCACTAACTCAGCCCAACCGAACCTAGAGGACGAAATGTCTCTTATAATTCCCCGAAAGGTAACAAGTGAAAATGTGCGGCGCTGAATGTTTCTTAATTTCCTCTAGTACGACCGAAGATATATGACATTTTGGAATGCACTTTATTTTCCTTATTGATGACTCATGGACTGCGAAAACACGAAATGTCCTTTATTTTCCATCAATATATATATATATATATATATATATATGTATATAGGTATTAGTATACATATTTGGCATGACTTGACTTGCTTTGGCATGGCATGACTTGCTTGGCATGACTTGACTTGCTTTGGCATGGCATGACTTGCTTGCTGCTACTACTACTACTACTACTACTACTACTACTACTACTACTACTACTACTACTATTATACTATGTATTTTTGACATGGATTGACTTGCTTGGCATGGCCTGCAGGGTTTGTTGTGAGTGATGTAGGGAGGATGCATATGGACTCAGCAAGTGTCTGCTACAGCTACCCGGCTCACCAGCTATAGTCCTGCCACTTTAAAAGCCATGGACCAAGACGGGCAGGAGCAGGCTCCGGAGCAGAGAAAATGGTATTGGGTGTGGGACGGTTCATGGACTCAGCGATGGCACAGTCTGTGGCGCTCATTGGAGTTATCCAGAGAGGAAGCACAGAAGGAAGCCCAAGCTGGTGAAACCCAGACACCCATGGACACCAGTGAGCCAAGCCAGCGGAAGCGGAAAAGAGCAGATTCCCCAAGGGAGCAGCTTCGCTAAGGGTAGCCAATTACATGCATGACGAACACCATTTTCCAGCCAGCTGGACAAATGGTTGAGAGCAGATGCCATGAGGAAAATGATGCATGACTGCTGTATGCACATATACAGCAATGGATAGATGCTTTGCACGGTTTCACCATGTTGGGCTCAAAGCTGTGAGAAGAAACCTGGAACCTTCAACCTTAAACCCTACATCAGGGGTCCCTGTGTGCTAGTGTCTGCAGTACTAGGTTCTTTCTACCGAGTGCTGTGCTTGCCCTGCTTGAGTGTTGTGCTGGGACATGGCTCTCCAGCGGCATGCCGAAGCGCCGGCTTGCTATCAAGGACGTCTTTGACAGTGCCCCGCTGTGTGTATGTCTTGCAGAGATTTGCATTGCAGCAGCAAGATCGCGACTCGATCCTGGCTCCTCTGCATCATCTAGGTCCAAGCATGTTAGCTCCCTTTGAGATCTTGCAGGGGTCTATATGTAAAGCTGGAAGGCAGCGACAGGGTGCATAGTGCATGTTGGCATGTAATTTCGTATCCTGTACACAGGCTTTCGGAGTGCAATGGCATTGCTCAAGGCCAACTCGGCCTGTAAGATGGCCTCGAATATGGGTCAGGGGGAGCATTCGGTCCTTGTGGGCCTGCTGTACAACAGCTACAAGCAGGAACTGCCCTTCTTCCGCCAGGCCTGGTTGTATGGATCACTATATTACTAGCTACCACTACTGGCAGCACTACCACCGCCCAGGCGGGCTTTCAGGTGGTGAGCGACAGATCCGGCAAACTCTTGAAGTGCAAGGATCACTGCTCCAGAAAGGACGTCAAAGCAAATCCCCGGGTGGATTGGGCAATATTAAGTCAAGAAAGTGTAGGAACCTACATGCATATAGGTCAGCACGAGGCCCCTGAAAGCACTTAAGTGGATCCCCGCCTAGGTCGCAGTGGCCACTCTTCGTGGTTATGGCATGCAGGAACAGGGTGAAGATTTTAGATCTCGTATGTCAGCTTTCGTTATCGCCGAAGCCTTGCTGAAACTCTACCAGAAGAAGAAGCTGTTCCCCTCCGGCATGGAGCCCTCCAACCCTTTGGCCCAGAAATGGGCAATCAAGGTTGGTACTGCAGCCCGCAAGCTAGCAACTGAACTGTATTAATTGATCTTGGCTTGCATGTTGACCTTGGCATGGCATGCTCTGCAGTGTTTCGTGTGCATGTGTGTGGGTCTGTGTATGTAGCTGTACGTGTCGGTTGCAAGGCCAGCACTCTGAGAATCCTCATGCGACGTGCAGATTCCAGCCATTGCTCAGAGATCAGGGCCCTTAAAAAGGAGTGCGAAGAGTCTTGGTGGAAACGAGAGGAGCTGCCAGCATGTTTCTTGTGCTGCGGCTCATTGATTTAGGGTTATTCCGCTTGTAAATTTTCGCAGGATCTCTCAGATGGTGGAGACTCCCAGGAATCCTCATCGTCGGGTGCCTTGGAGGACCTCATGAAGCTGACCCAGCAGAAGCCGGTTGAGGCCGAAACCAAGGTTTCGCAGGATCGTTTGAAGTTCATGAAGGAGAAGAAGGTCGAGGGTTACAGTATGGAAAAAATCAATCGTGCTTGGATCAAGAAGCTGAGGGATGAGGAGGATCATGAAGCAGTTCAGGATGAGCCGTTCTACCCTTCCTCCCAGTACAAGCCGAAGAAGAAGAAGGGCTCGAAGAAGGACTCGAAGACCCCCGAGAACCCGAAGAACTCAAAGAAGAAGCCCGAAGAGAAAAAAAAGAAGACCAGCAAAGCAAAGCCACCGGTTGAATCGTCCACGTATCAACCTGGAACCTTTAAAGATGCTCGCAATGCTTTTATGCAGAAGAAGAGAGCCAAAGGTTTCACGCACCTCGAGGCCTGTAAGGCATGGATGCTGTCCAATCGTCGAGCTAACATGCTCTCGGACCTCCCGGAGAACGAGCTTAAGAGGCGCAGATTCGCCTGATTCGTGTTTTTTTCGGGCTCCATGAAGCAAGCTTCAGGTTATATGAGCTTGAGTGATTTGAGATGGGTGCTGGCTGTTCTCCACGGAATGCTGGGACTCTGGCATAAGGCCAGTTCTGGGCTTTTGTATCATAGCACTGCCTGGCTGGGGGCACGGCTGGGTATCGCTGGCTATGCGATTGTAGTTCCTGTGTCCACGGGGTTTGGATGAATCTTCGCACAAGAAAAATAGTCCACTTGGCATGGCATGACTTGTTGCATGAACTGTGCTTGCAAGCGCCGATTCTGTGAGTTGGGCACACATGTGTGATTGCATGCATGGTGCAGGGCAGGAGCTTTCAACTCTAAACCTCCTCGCATTCCCAAACCCTCGGGCCCTTAAACCCTACAACTTATAATAGCCAGTCCCCCAGAATCCCAATCCGAGTAGCTTCTTGCTTCGACTACGACGTCGAGGATGAAGGACTGCATTCGTGGGGCACTAGATCTGTTCAGATTTCGAGCGGTTTTGCAGAGGACATCGGAGCACTGCAGGAAGGCCGCTGTCGTGGTAGAGTCGCTAGAGTTTGGAATAGGATAGTTAAGTTTCATCCAGCCAGGTACTTGGATCGACCCGAGCTGGTTTGGTGGGTCCGGCTCTCATTGCATCCGTTCTTGGTATCGAAGCCTGAGCATTGGTGCATGGCTTGGCATGCATGTTGTCGGCATGATGAAGTTTGGCTGGCGAGCTTTGTGTTGGTCGATGCATGTTGGCATGAACTTGTTAGCACTTTGCAGCTGGGTATATAAATATTGCCATGATATGAGCAATCACTTTTAGTGCACGAACGATGCAGCGGGCCCTCACTCACGTTTTGCGGTCCTCTGCACCTGAAGTCGGTAAGTCACGAAAGTGCTTGCGCCAGCAGCCGTATCGGCTGCCCAAAACCAAACTGTGGCAATGTCGCCTCTTGCCCCCGGTGTGGGAGGGTGGGCCGACTTCTAAGCCACAAAAGGGCTCTGGGTTCGAGCGCTTGCTCTCTCTGCCCAAAAAGCAACAGTTATTGCTAACTTACCACTTTTAGTGCACGAACGATGCAGCGGGCCCTCACTCACGTTTTGCGGTCCTCTGCACCTGAAGTCGGTAAGTCACGAAAGTGCTTGCGCCAGCAGCCGTATCGGCTGCCCAAAACCAAACTGTGGCAATGTCGCCTCTTGCCCCCATCATCAAGTGTAGTGAATCTTCTGTTCCACACGGGCCATCTTGGAGGCGGCAGCCTTCAACGCAGTCTCACCGTCGTGGAGGTATTTCTGAACCGCGGACGACGACCATCGGCCCGTCCGCTTGACAAGCTCAATCTCCCCGGTGGCCTGAAACAAGGCCGAAGCGCCCCCGATTCTCAAAGAGTGAGATCTGAACCGCTCAGGCGGGAGCCCAATGCCTTTTGCTGCTCGCTGCAGCAAGTCTTGCATCTGGGTGCGCTTCAAGACCTGTCCATTTGCCCACCGAAACAAAGGCTGAAGAGCCTCGGATCCACAGTCGAAACGCTGAGGTGCAATGCGCTTGTACTCCTCGAGCGCGGTGACCACGCAGACCCCTTTGACCCCAGACTCGTACATAGTTTTGCACGTCCCGTAGGCCTCCTGGTCAGTCTTGGTCTTCCTGAACTGCATCGTGACGCCTTTGAGCCCCTCTTCGGTGATCGCGTCGAGGAACTTAAGGTCGGCACCCCGCAGGATCATGGCGTAGTCGATGCCGTTCGATTCGCAGTACTCCTTTGCACGTAGCATGAAGAACCACGCCACCAGCACCGCCGCCTTGATCATGGCGGCATCAAACTTCTCCTGCGCACTGCTGGACTCGTTGGTGGCGAAGGCCTGATCGATCCACTTGAGCATTTCGGGTGTGACGCCCAGGCGTCGAGGGCTCTTCGGCGTCTTGCGATCCAAGGCCCCCAGCAGCATCCACAGCCGGAACATCTTGTCGGTGGGGTCGCCCTGTCCCCCCCTTTTGTGGCCGTCCTTGATGGCGAAGACGGCCTGCTTGAGCGTCGCGGGTGATGCGCCCAGCCATCCCAAGTACCCGAGGAAGCCCAGCAGCTTGTTCTCATTGCCCTCGGTGGCAAGGGCCTTGTCCAGAAACTCGGTAGGCCAGCCCTGCCTCCTCGCCCATGCCTTCCACTTGGCGTAGACGCCCGCATACTGCTTGGTCATGCTCTCCGCCAGGTATCCGCACAGGTTGTCCTCGATCCACTCATCGATCATCGCCCCGATGCCCCCATCGAAAGGCCTCGTATCGAAGCCATCATCCCGAATCTGGGCCTCGCCCACGGCTTCGACAGCCTTGCCACGTCGAGTTGCCCTGCGCCCTGCCGCTCGCGCAGAGCTCCAAACGCACTCGCCCCCGTCATCATCGCTCGAGTCTGACAACCACATGGCCTCGCCCCAGCTCCAGACCTGGCCCTTTGCACAAAGGGTTTCCCCGCCGGTTCACCGTCATCGTCGGGAGAATCGTGCTGCCCGGGACTGCCTCGGGGTACAGGTTGGGCTCGAAGTTGATGGCACCGTAGAGCTCGATCTGCACCGCGAACCTGACCATGAGATAGGCCGCCCCACGGGTCACCGCCGCCAGCACGATGCTCGCACTGCTGGTTCGCCCTCCGAAACAAGCCCCGCTTCCATTTCCGCAGCCATCCCAGCAACTTGTTGAGGTTCTCGTCATCGAGGAGGTCACGAACGCTACCAGCCTTCGTGCCATCGTTCATCACATAGGCCGTCATGAGGCACAAGGCCGCCGCGGTGTGGCCCCCAGTCGCGCGGGCACCCTCAACGAGGATCTCCTCCGGCTCCAACCCTTCGCCTCGAAGATGGTCCCACGTTTCACGTGTGCGACCCTGGCACGCCCAGACCTCAGCTGGCTCCAGCACGCGCACTCCAGGTGGACCCCTTGGATCCCAAACAACACTCTCCTGCACCCCCGAGCCGTCCCGGAGTGGCCAACGAAGCGGGCCTCCCGTGCTCACCAGATTGAAGCGCTTGCCCTCATTCCAGAAATGTCCCTTCAAGAAAGGGAGGAGAGGCTCGCGAGGAATTCCGGCATCAATGATCACCCGCTCCGGCTTCAGCCAGCACACCGGTGGGACACATCGCGTAGGTCGAATAGCCGAACTCATGGGGGGGCCCAAAACGCCCCGGCTCGTTGTTGCACACAACGCCCCCTCGACTTTCCGGTGGGGCGAAGCTGTCACACACGTCCGTCGTCTAGCAGCGACCTCCCCAAACTCCGTCGTGACAAACTCGGCGACCTCATAGTTCCACCCGGCAGCCTCAAGCAGATGGATGCCCGAAGTCCACTTCACACCTCTGGGCCCCTCGATCACAACGAGACCCGCGGGTCCCTGCACACAGGCCTTCACGATCGCGCCGATGGCATGCCCGTGACGATCCGGCGGGAGTGAGGCCAGTGCGATCTCGCCCTCCTCGATGGGACCATGCAAAGTGCACCGTCGCCCCATGCCCCCGGCAGCCTGGATCGCCTCAAGGAAGTCGGTGACCCGTCGGGTCGGTCCGCATAGCTCAACGAACCGGAGGTTCTCCCAACGCGGCTGAAGAGCGTGCGGAATGGCACGACACAATCTTCGCTCCTTCAACTGCATTAGCACCTGACGGTCTTCATCTCCCCAGGCCAACAGACATGGCCCGAAACGCTCGGAGTCAATCACAGCCTGGCGTAGCGCGGCTTGAACATCAACTACGCTCCAGCCCCGCTCCTTGACGAGGTCGGCAAACTCCTCGTCGGTGCACCTCGTCAACAAGTCGGCATGCACGTTGTGATATGTGCGCCACCATGCCGGGAGCAGAACGAAGCGGTACCGCATTTCCAGGAGGTTCGCGATGCGGACGAGGAGGCGCCCCACGCGAGTCCCAGCCTTCCTCCCCGCTATCCACTCGCGGACGATCTGATTGTCGCCACCACACGGCCGCTCCACTTCGGGCCCACATGGCAGGCGAAGGAGAGGAAAGACAGCATCTCCGCAACATGGATCGCCACCTCGTCGTCGCCCTGGCACCTCTGTACCCACGTGGCCGCATCAGCCGCAGCCATCCTCATCACGACGCCATTGGTCCAGTCGATGGCCGCGATCTTGAGCTTGGTGGCATCCGATGACACAAAGACAGTCCCGGCATCCCACTCGCCACTGAGCGCCAAACGCTCCCGCACTGGGAGAAGCTCACGCATCCCAGCCCCGAACTTGGTGGCCCATGTCTCCGGCCGCGCACACAGCCAGCGCACCTCCTCAAAGAGCTCCCAAGCCTCATCTTCCTCCTCCGCATCACCTGGACTCGAGAGCTTCGGCTGAACTTTCGCTCCACCCTCCCGCTCGGCGCCCAAAAACCGGTCGGCTGCCTTCAGTTCGTTCCGGAGGCCCCGGACGATGACCGTCCAGCCGGTGGTGATGCCCCTGAACCTCTGCACCGCTCTGACCGTGATGTCCTTGCTCCCGTACTCAAAGGCTGCATCGCTCAGCAAGTGGGCCCCTTTCAGGATGCGGCGCTCAGGCAGGTGGACCTCCTCCGTCGCGGTATCCATGTCCAGGCCCCACACAGTTTGGAAAGTGCGGAAGGGCCCCTCCACCAAGTCCTTCTCGCGGTTCACGGCCGCCTCGCCCAGTAGCATCTTGACCCCGGCCTCATAAACCTCGCCAGCGACCCAAGGCCTCAGGCCAATCCATGGCTCCACCAGCACGTTGTCATCAACCAGGATCCGGCTCTCAAAGGCCCAACTGAGATCTCGTCGGGGACACGCCGGGCGATGGCTACGTAGAAACTCCTCAGTGCCCTTGCCCCACACTGTCCACTCGCCGGGGGATCCCGAAAAGCCGAAGGACGAGGTAGACGACCGTCATCTCCATACCATCGTCCCCCTGCTTGCCCCCTTCCATTTCCTCAGGAACCCACGGAAGGTCGCCGGCGAAGAGGTCCGCATCATTCGGATCAACCCAAAGCAGGCGGAATGCCCCTGCCACGTCCTTCTTGCTCATGAAGATGTCAGTCCCCGGCAGGTGCGCCTTAGCTCTCAACACAAGCCGCGCCACCTGCTCGTGCTTGGGTTGGATCGCCGGCGGGTGCCACTCCTTGTCGGTCCCACAATTGATCACGCGTTGGTCGTGGACGATCCTCTTGTCGGGTGCCACCGAGCGGTCCGGGAGCATCTTGTCGACGGCGTCGAAGGGGCTCGAGATGACCGGGCCCAACTCCTCCAGCGCAGCAGGAACGACCAACACCCTCAGCTTACAGACGTCCTTCCAAATCTGGCGATACACCTGAGCGAGATTGCGTCGCCCGTTGGGGTGGATCTTCGCCTGACAGCGTTGGCGCTCACCGACAAACCTCGCAGCAAGGCCCCGTCTCCGCACATCCCGCAGGTACTCCAGGAGGTCCGGATGCAAGACGGTGTCCAGGTAGGGGTCATCGACATTCCGTAGATGATTGAGCCCGGACTCCTCGCGAACCTGCCACAAGCTCTCCGCTGCAAGTCGAACGGAGCCCGCCTGCTTGACGAGCTCACCGCCACGTTCGCACAGCTTTGCCCAAGCCTCTGGCTCTCCAGGACCCCCAGCATGTGCGAGCTCGATGTACTGCTCGGCCTTGGCCCTCGCCTGAGCCGACGGTGCCCGGTATTCTGCACTGCCCGCCCTGGTTTCATCCCAAACGCCAGGACAAAGCACCCCAGCGGTAGGCAGGTCCCCGCAAGTGAAGAGATCATCATCGCCATCGAGCTCCTCGAGCCACCCCGCGTAGCTGCCCAAGCCGCCCAGCAGGGGAACCTATCCATCGGCGCGCGACTGCCCGCCCTGGTCTCATCGCCCTCACAGCTCTGTGGCGCGCCATCTCCCCGATGTGCCATGTCCTCCCCCCCCGCAGAACCAACACCTGCTGAAGAGTAGACACAACCGTGCGCACAAACTCCGGGCAATACCGCCCCGCCTCGGCACAACGAGACACTGAGGAGCCCCGACGGTTGCCACGTAGAGGAACATGAAGGTGAGCTGCTCCCACCCCAGGGCACCGGCGGGACAGAGCCCGCGCAAAAGCCTCATTCTTGCGAAAGACGATGCGGGTGCGGTGATGGTAGAAGCCGTCCTCGCCCTCGGGCCCCAATCCAAAAGCACACATTGGAAACTCCACGAACTGCACGTCCGGGCGTGCCAAGATTGCTTTCCACCACGGCAGGTCCCACATTTTGGGGTAGCGCCCAGAACGGGCGGTCGACTCCGCAACCGGGAACCCATCGCCACGCAGCACTTGCAAGAAAATCTCCGCAGCGACCTTGCTCAGCATGTTCCCCAGGACCTCCACGTCTGTAGGAGGGCAGTGATTTGCACCACCCGTGGGCACTTGGAACGTGCGAGTACCCCCATTCTCCAAACCCCAATCACAGAAACTGGTGCAGGGTGGAGCCAGCCACCACACATTGGCGGCACCGTCCTTCGCAGAGTAGAGGAGCTGCTTTTGGACCTCAGGGCGTGCCACATCACACTCGGCGCGGTAGCCGGACTTGGTAGCGGGGTCGGCATAGACCTCGATCGGCGACAAGACGTGGAGCCCCGCAGCTGCCCACGCCCGTGTCATGTCCCCAAAACCCGCAAAGACCTCCTGCAGACACAGCTGGGAGCCTCGAAGTGGGACAGGATGCAGGACAGGCTGAGCACCGGCACGGATGCAGCCCAACGCATCCCCTGCCTTGCGCCCCTTGCACAACCGGCAAGAAACACTCCCCACGGCTGTCGGCTCCTGGTCGTGCCGGGAGTGCCAGAAGAACAGAAAACCCAGAGCGGGCGTATCATAGGGCTGCCACCGATCAAGAAAAACCGCCACATCTCGCCATATCAAGGTCCACAGGACCCAACCATTGGCCTGCCACAGTGGCCCAGTGACTGTCTCCACGACGACATCACCCTTGTAGTCCGCCCGGATCACGACCATCTTGCAGTCCTCCAAGTCCTGCAACGGGAATACCGCCAATGAGCGAAAGTCCTTGTCGTGGCTGGCGCGGACGATGTCGTGGGTGTAGACCCGGATCTCCGCCTCGATCGGTGCCACCTTGAGGGCGGGCTCGCCCATGGTCGCCTGGGCCTCCAGGGCCTGACGCGTCTGCTCCAGACGCAGCTCCAAGGCCTTTGCGTCGACTTCCGCGACGGTAGGGCGTCTAGCCAGCTCACGCCACATGATCCCCGCAGCGACAGCCTTCGTCACACACTGCCGCTTCTCGAGGCCCTCCTCAGGCTGTCGCAACATCGAAGCCATCTCCTCCGACATGAAGACCTCCTCCTTGTAGTCCCAGATGGTCCAAGTGGCGCCCTCGACGACAGCTGAGCCCCGCCCGGGTTGGCCGGGCTCCCAGACCACATCCGTCACAATGATGCCCCCGGCTGAGCCAGCACGGTGTTCACACCTCGCCTCCAAGATGCGAGACGCCTCCGCCGCGAGGTCGCCCAGCCCATAAATCGCCATATCACCCAGGACCTCCTCGAGGCTCGCCTGCGGGTTCTTGGCGACTCGCGAGGCGGCCCAAGCGAACAGATCATCGGAAGCCTCCTTTAGGTGGCCCAACACCGGGCCCTGGATCATCTCCTTCGCCTGCTCCACAAAGTCATGCGCCTGCTGAGGTGCTGACTCTCCGGACGCAGCGTCCAGAACCTTCGCCCCCGATGGCGGACACTCAAGCCACCCAGCATCCGGCCCTTTCAAGGCCTCGCGCAACTCCTCCTCCGCGACGGTGAAGTCAACGACGTCGAACTCCTCCGGGACCTCCGCAAAACGAACCGCATCACCACCTGCTCGTGTGCTGGCGGGGGCCCCCTCATCAGCTGGCTGCCCGGATTTCCGCCCATCACTGACCTTGCTCGCCCGGTCCTTTGCAACGGCGGCCCTCAAAGCCTTGATCTTCTCCGTCACGCTCTCTTTGGTCTCCGCTCGCATTCTCCGCAAACCTCCACGGCGCAACAACTGCATCTGCAAACACGGCTCCAGGGTCTCGAACTTTCCCTGCAGGTCGGAATGAGATCGCTGGCATGATGCATTGGAGCAGCCCATGTGGGTGAGCGCTCCCCAACACAACTGCAGCACACCGTCCTTGTCCAGGGGCGCGCGGTCCTTGGCACGGTTGACCTCTTCGACCGTCAACTTTGGTCCCCACAGACCCCGAAGACTGGGTTTGGAGGCCGGCTCGGGACGCGAATCCCCGCCTGCATGAGCTGATGCTGGTTTGCCCCCACGGCCACCTTCCCACGTCAATCGCCACAGCATCCTCTCCTGCCGCCGTTCGATGCGGGGGAGAACCTCAGACATGAACCAACCATCAGGCCGACGGAGATCAAAAGTGCGAGGCAACTCCAACCAGGCCACCCCACTCGCGTTGGGCAACAAAGCGTGGAACTTCAGGTCCTGCAACGACATGGTCTCGCGGCCCGCCTCCTTCTTGAGCAACCTCAAAATCTCTTTGAGCTCCTCGAAGAACCGCCAGTGAAGCTCTTCCCAGACCTCCATGATCACGGTGAGGGGCCACTTGTGGGGCTCGCCCTGGTGCCATTCCAGCAGGAGCTCAAGGGCATGGTTTCGAACTGGTTTCCACTCAGCCCCGTACAGCAGAGCCCACACATCATTCTGCCGCCGGACACGGCCTTCCCAGTCCTCTAGCCTCGTAGGTGGGGGCGGGCGTTGGTCACTCCCACCCTTTCCCGCACGCACCTCCAGGACATAGGCGTCGAGCTCCGCGTCGGTGTTGGCGACAAAATCCGCGGCCGCCAGCGAGTATTTCTCCGCGGTCCCCCAGTAGGGCCCTGCAAGGCCGATTGCCAAGCGAGGGGTAACTTTCTGCTTGAAGCCGGCCTTGCGGAGCTTGGTCGACGCTCCCACCTGTGCTGATAGCAATGCGTTGGCCAAAGCTTGCCCCTGCTCTCCGGCCCCGACCGTGACCTGGTACTGGTTGCAGGCGCGAAGAATGAACACCAACTCCTCACAGGTTCGGTTGAGCCCCTTCACGGTTCCGGGTGGCAAAGCCGTGCTCTCCGCGTGGCTTTTCACTAAGTTAAGGAAGCTATCTCGGCGGACTGAGACTGGATGGCCTTCGCGATGGACTCCATGGAGTTTGGCCCTTCGGTGGCCCCGGCCTTGCGGTCGTCGACACCAAAGATGCTGGGGTTCCCGATACGAAGGGGCTGAGGTGCACGCTCCGGCGTGACAGGGCCCGCGCGGTCTGGAGAATCCACTACCTCCCATGAAAGAACAGAGCTGCCACGTGTCACACTAGACGGCGAGGACCCCCGAGTGGACGGCCGTTGCCAAATGCTCACAAACTTAGACAAGCCCTTCTGCCCCTTGGCCTTCTCGTCGATCGCCTGCTTCAGAAGGGCCTGAGTGATCTCTTTCACCGACATACCACGCTCCATGGCGAGGTTGGCTCTAACCTCCTCCTCCGAAACCCCGGCACTCCTGCCTTCCGCGTACTGGTTGAAGAACTCCTCCAGGATTGGCAACGGATGGTCCTGAACAGGGGAATCGAGTAGGCCAAGGCGGGCGAGGTTTCGCTGGATGCTCGACTTGGGTGTACCGCCTGGGGACTTCTCCCGAGCGCGCTTGACCTCTCCCATCTCCGACCGAATCTCGTCCAAGAGGCGCTTAATCTCCCGGGGCTGAGGGTTACCTCGAGGTGGAAGCTCAGGTTCTTCAGGATCGTCACCGTCAGCTGCTGCCACAGAACGAGCCGGAGACTTCCGGCGAACTGCTGCTCGCTTCGAGGCAGGGTGATGACGGCATCGTCGCAGCCCCTCCTCATCCTCGATGCCAACGTGGTTGCACCCGGAGGCGAAGCACCGCTGCGGGCGTCTCCGGCGTTCGTACTCAAGAGCATGTTGAGCACACAAGGAGACACCCCCCACCTCATCGAACTGGTCCTCAGCCAAGAGCGCACAAAAGTGAGTTCCGGAGCCCTTACACAACGAGGCCGCCAAGGAATGATCTCCGTCACGGTCCGACCACTTGACGCGCACCGCCCCACAGGGTTTATCCTCGGTCTCGGACTCGGACCCGAACTCCTTCTGAGGAGGCCTCGGCGCCTTAATCCCCGACGACCAAAACCATGCCCACAAGGTCCGACCAGCCCTCGTCGCCTCTAACTCCGCGTTCTTCAGGTGGAACTTCTCCGGGTCGAAGTCGCGGGCCACGGCATACTCCTTGAAGTGCTGGCCCTCCTCGGTGCACACCAGGTGCCTGCACAGATGGACCTTGTCCACACCCTTGCAAGCGTCAATCAACACCGGGCTGCCTCGGAGCGTGTCTGCCTCCACTGGGACGAAGAGCCCTGGCGAGCGATTCGTTTGATTTTCCGAGCCCACCTTGAAGACTGCCACGTGCCCTTCTCTTCGAACCAAAGCCCACTTGTCGCCGCCCGCTGTGGACTTGAACAGGCGGAGGTCAGCAGTTTCAGGGATTCTCCCGGTACCTGGTCCGATGAAGTCGGCCCCGGCAGCTTCGGGAACCCCACCAGCAGCCCGCTGAGCCCAGTAGACGAGTGTCCCGATCTTTCGAACCGACACCCGGACAGTCCAGACGACACACATCACGATGAAGGTCACGAGCGAAATGACAGGCCAGCACAGGGCCCAGAGGTAGTGTGCCCCAAGGCACAGCAGCATCAGCATCACAAGCCTGAAGGCCCTTTGGCAGCCTGTTCGAACATTGGGCCATGCACTTCCAAACAAAGCCCAGCCGATGCAACTCACAAGGGTGTCGAGGACCATGCACAAACCGCTGTCCCACGACCAAGAGCGAGGCCCCGGCGGATCACCTCCTGGCCCTTCGAACCAGGCGGCCCAAAGACCCCGCAGATCCTCGCCACTAGGGAGGCGTTCATCCGCCCAATCGCGAAGCTGTGCCCAGCGAGAAGAGGCTCCGTCAGCCCTAGGAGATTCCTCGGGTCGCCCAGTCACATTGCCCCGCTCGAAGAGCCAGCCGCTTCCATGATGGGCTGCCGACAACGCAAGCAGCAATCGCACCCCTATCTGTGGCATGGTGCCCTTAGCACCCGACTTCTAAGCCACAAAAGGGCTCTGGGTTCGAGCGCTTGCTCTCTCTGCCCAAAAAGCAACAGTTATTGCTAACTTACCATTATTGAAGCATGAACATGTTCAGCTCATGTCAACTTGCACCATGCCATGCCATCACTTTTTGCCTGGTTTGTGTTCGAGGGGTCGAGGGGCTACTTTTCGGGTTTAGATCACTATACTAACTATACATTAAATAGTCGATTCGAGGACACAACCTATGAACCCTTAACCCTTATAAGGATTTAGGTATAATGTCCGAGTTTAAGCGCCGAGACCCCTAGATAGCACAGCCATGCCGTCCGAAGGGCATGCCGATCAATGGCCTAGCCACCTGCGGTTCCCTCCACCGCCTAAGATTTCGTCGACCAGACCTTCGACAGCGATGCTGCCACCGCGGCCCCCGCCAGTGCCGGTGCTCGACTTGGCATCGATCCCGAAGCCTCCGCCGGTGCCTCCTCGACGTCCCCTTATGGTACCGCCTCCTGCTAGGCCTCTAGCCCCTGCAGACTTTAAGGCCAGGCCGCCAAAACTTCGCATGAGCATGAGTTGCCTTGCTTGATTTCTTGTGTTTGCAGGTGGCAGCTACAGAGAAAGCTGCAGCTGCCGTGCACATGGAGCCGAAGGCTGTGCATGTGTCTTTTACATAAATCACCAATACCTTAAATAGACAGCGACAACCCAAACCTGATATGGTATTGGCATGCTTGGGCTTGGATTGGTATTGAGCTTGCTAGGCAGATGGTGTGCCTGTCGTGGTTCTGCCGAAGCCTGCAGATCTCGTGAATCCCGAGCCGGAGACTGTGTTTTTTTGTATAAACACCATGCACCCTAAAATAAACCGCCACCCGAAATAACCCAATGATTGTCTTGACCTGCTTGGATTGGATTGATATATTGAGCAGGCACTGCCGAAGCTGCCGAAGCTTGCACCGAAGACTCCGCCGATGCCTCCGCCGATCCTCTTATATGGCTTTGGGCCATTTGGGGACCAGGCACCGAAGACGCCTCCGTTTCCTCCAATGCCTCCGCCTGCAAGGCCTCCGGCTGCAACTGAGCCCGAGCTCGATGCTGCAAACTCTGTGGAGTCCTCGTCGTCAGAGGCAGACCACATGTATCTAGAGGTATTCAGGGTTTAGGGTTTATAGGGTTTGGGGTTTATAGGATTTAGGGTTTCTAGGGATATATATATATATATATCAATATATTAGCTCCTTAACTTGCAGTTGTCGTGTTTTGCCTTGGCTTGATCTGTTGCAGGCCGCTGCATGTGACGCCGATGAATATGAGGATTTGCTCCCTGGGGCCGTGGCCAAAGCCTGCATGCCCTCGAGCCCAGAGGAAAGCCTAGAGGCAACTTCAGCGGCAGGTGAGCAGAGCGAGAGCGAGGCCTCGATCACCTCGAGTACGCTGAGATGGCAGTTTCAGCAGATGAGGCAGCAGATCGAGAATGAGGAGCAGGCTGTGCAGGCCGAGAAGGCTCGATCACGATCGAGATCGGGGCGATCGAGATCGAGATCGAGATCGAGGCGATCGAGATCAAGGCGATCGAGATCAAGGCGATCGAGATCAAGGCGATCGAGATCGAGGCGATCGAGATCGAGGCGGCGATCGAGATCAAGGCGCCGATCGAGATCAAGGCGCCGATCGAGATCGAGGCGGTCCCGATCGAGATCGAGGCGGTCCCGGAGGCGATCGAGATCGAGGCAGTCCCGCAGGCGATCTCGATCGAGGAGGAGGAGGGACAGTAGGTCTTAGGAGTGCGGGATTGGGGGCTCCTGGGCTATAATATCTATAGATATAATATATGCTCTCCCATTGCATGTGTGTGTGCTTCGGGCTGATGGGCCGGCCGGGTCGTATGTTAATAAAAAAGCAAAGCTAGAGCTATAGTGCAAACCGTGCAATCGCTCGCATGCACACCAATGGAGCCACATGATCCTGCACTTCAGATTTTGATCTGTGGCTGGATCGGCCAAACCTGTACAGGTACGTATCAGAGCCGTGTACACTATAGTGCAAGTTAATTGAAAAAGATTGGTCCGTTGCCATGCTTGCACATGATTGATTGTGTTGCAGATTGTCTTGCATGCATGGTTTGTTCTTGCTTTGCATGGATTGGATCGCTTGCCCAGGTCGATGCGAGCTGGTCGTGGTGAGGATCTCAGCGAAGAGGGATATTGGGTTGTGGTTGGGATTGGGACCCCTAACCCTGAACCCTAAACCCTGATCCCTAAACCTTGAACCCTATAAACCCTGAACCCTGAACCCTAAACCTTGAACCCTATAAACCCTGAACCCTAAACCCTGAACCCTGAACCCTCAACCTCGCTTTGGGAGCCGCATGCCATGCCATGCCTCGTCATGCTCTAAGTATGTTTATACCTACATAGTAGCAATAGATAAAAATCTGTATAATAGATAAGACCTATTAAGATAGAGTCGATCTATAGTATATAAGTATATATAATCAATTCGGGCTTTATAAATGCCTTAAATAAGAACACCCGCCCAGGTCGAAGCCGGTATGGTCTTGCTTCATATCGTGTTGTGCATGTCATGAATGTTTGGATGCATGCATGCTTGTTTGGTTTGATCCCAGGTGATATCATCATGTGCAAGCTGATCAATTGGTGGTGCAGGGGGCCTGACCCTAGATAGCGATGCCGCAGCTAGCTTTCTTTAGCCCCCCGCATTCCCCGCAGTACGCACCGTAAATTCCCCGAACCCGCCCCGATACAAATGCCCTGCAAATTCATACAAATGCCCCGTAAATTCCTACAAATGACCTGCAAATTCATACAAATCGCCCTTTCTGAGTAATGCGCAGGAATGCACCATACGCTCTTCATTTTCCCGTACAATGGCCTAGTATCCCACATTATCTGAGTAGTGCGCCAGAATATATTGGATTGTCCATTATCCTCTCTATATATAAAGAGGATAATCGACAATCCAATATATTATATGATCCTTTATACTAAATTATAATTATAAACTATATACAATAGAAACCCTATAAGCCCTTAAACCTTAATAACCCTAATATCGGTCTGCATCGAGTACAAAAGCCACGTGCTGCTTGCACTGCATGTCATGCATGAACCATGGCTTGAGCTTGGCTTGCTGTGGCATGTACGTTGCTGTGTATAGGTTTTTGGCTGCAGGCTTTAAGTCGCTAGGTCGTAGCCCATCATGGAGAAAGAAATCAAAGCCTTAATGAAGACAGCAAAGCTGTCCTATGAGGAGGCTAAGTTTTGCCTCGAGCCGCCAAAGAAGGAGCCTCTAGACACGAATTGTACTAGCCGCATGCACATTGAATTGATCGGTATAATTGCCACCTAGGCCGAAGCTGTGGAAAGGTGCTTCGAAGCTGACACCTCCTAGGAGGGTCCGAGAAAAGTCAACCCCGGCGGGGAGCTCGGGGATCAAGCGATCTGCTGTAGATCGTGACGGTGCATGGGTATACGAAGGGCATGTTCATGAGAATCAAAAGAAGAAGAACAAGAAACAAAAGCAACCCAAGGAGGAGGAGGAAGAGGAGGAGCATGATGCAGTGCCAGCAACAAGCAGCAAAAAGACCAAGAAGGACAAGAAGGAAAAGAAGGCGAAAGCCAAGGAAAATAAGGCTGCAAAGGTTTCCATTGATCAAATGGACACCCAGGAGTGGGATGCCGAGGATACGGGGCCAGGGGCACAGGATCTGGCACAGGATCTCGAATGGGATGATGAGGTGCAGGCCGAGTGGGAGGCATGGCGAGAGGAATGCAGGCTCATCAAGATCAGTCAGCAGGAGGAAGAGCAAGGCATCGATGGAGAGGCTTGGGATCCGGAGGACTTCATTCCTGAGAGCGACTGGTATCATATGGTGGTACCTTCAAGTAAGTTGCCACTGTGGGGAGGGTTGAGAAGTGATTATGAGTCTTCGCACTCGTCTGATCAGCTCGAAGAGGTGCCGGACGCCGAAGATCCCGTACCGTCAACCGCGAAGGAGGTGCCGGAGAAAGTCGCCGAAGATCCCGTACCGTCAACCGCGATGGTCCTGCATGAAAAGAAGGAGGAGAAGATCTCTTCGGCCACGCACCGCTCAAGCTGGAACAAGCTGGCGAAGCTTGCAGAGAGCGGCGAGTTCCCATGCCTGGCTTCGGTGTGGTCTACTGGCGATAGAAAGAAAAAGAACGAGCTACTTCAGAAGTATGTGCTCTCCAAAGACCCCAGCCAGGTCGAAAGCGAGCTGCAAGTCACGAGTACCCAAGGCACTGGTAGCAGAAAGGTCAGGGTGTGCTTGACCCTCCGCCAGATGAGAAAGAAGCCGTACTTCTTCCCCAAGGAGAAGTGTGAGTGGATCGCACAGAACAGAAAAGGCATCGAGGACGAAGACTTTCCAGGTGGTCCACTAAAGTATTGGGTCAATGTCATGATGGAAGCCGAAGACTACAAGAAGAACCAGCCCCTATAGCACGCATGGAGTTTGACATGTGAGTTGACATGTGTGTGATTATGTCCCCTAAACCCTAAGCCTCCTGAAAAGATCGTGACTTCCATAGGTCTTTTGGCGAACATTCCCCAATAACCCTAAACCGTAAAAAGATCATCAATTCCATATGGTTTTTTGTATGTTCCCCACCATGCATGGTCGAGGTCCGAAGTCCGATCCTGCTCCAATATGGACGTTCAGGAGGCGATGCAGGTCCACCTCGCGAACAAGCCTGCTTTTGGCAAGAAGTCTGATCGCACAGAGACGGTCGATGATGACGATAACAGCGACGAAGAGCAGAAGCCCAAGCCGAAGCCCAATCGCGGGAAGAACAAGCCCTCGTCTACCCCCCAGCTGGCCTTGCCAGACAAGCCCTCGAATAAGCCCGGCGGTAAGAAGGCAAAGGTCAAGAAGATCAGTGTGTGGGATACCCCATGGGCCACCAAAGAAGAAAGAAAAGAGAAGTGGAGTTCATGGCCTAGTGTTTGGG